TGGTCTAGTATCAATCGGTTCATGATCTCAATCAAAAAATTATGCAATACCTGAAAACACTGGACGGCCGTCTCGTTCTAGTATCGGACTCCTCAGCATGAACATGATGATGATGTATTATCCACTAAATAGTGATACTTTATCGATATTTTTAATCTTCTATTGGCCTAAAGCTTCAGAATATCTATCGGTAAATAATAGTTATGGTATTTATTCATCTAGAGAATTCCAGCCGCTTATTTGTGACTAAAATTGGCATACATATTATATTGATATAACGTTTTATGTAATTTTATGGTCTATTAGTCATATACTACTCAACACCTTTTGCTTAATGAAAATTCACAAAAATCCATTAGAATAAAACTACGTGAAATGTATGTACTATATTAGCCAGTTTCCTGGTTTCAGAAAGTATTAAGGTTGGAAAAACATAGATTTTATTACAAACGCACTAAAATGTAACCATCTTCACACACGTAGTAACCATAAGTTGATCATTAGATACTCTAAATCAGTCAAATATATCAGTTCAAGAACAGGGGAAAAAGAGTCATTCTGACTTGCGCATCCTAGTGGTTAAGATTTAATTTAAATGTCTGAGGAGGTACATATGGTGTTTGTTGAAAAATATGATTACATTTTTTGGAGACAGGTATGTATACTTATATGTGAGTGGCGAATATATTTTGTCTCAATTTAGGTGACAAAAGCTTATCCACTCTTAGTTAGCTCACACAGGCAGCTAACTATAAGTCGTTACAGACTAAACGATTGGCCTGGTACGAGAGGAAAGTCCCCCTAAATGATTCGGATTATAGCTCTAATTCACTTGAGCTTTTAGAGGACCTTGTAATAATAAATAAATGGGTTAAAACATAATCTGTCGAACTGATGTGTTGTAACAACTTACGATGATAAGTTAGGAGTCGGCCGCAAGCATCTTAGTAATGTCACAACATTATAGTTCAAATATTCATTCAATTCCTTATTTCTCATGGGCATTATATTTCCTTTTTTTTATATTGAACACCGAAAAACTTTGTGTGCTTGAAAAAGATAACCTTGCACTACAACTGTTCTGTCCACGATCAAAATAAAGACCCTGTTCACTACTGGTATGACTTTTTCTACGAATATAACGAAAGGTAACCACCAACAAGAAAATATAATGGACATTCTGCTTCATAAGCCACAAAGCACATTCACTCTCCGTTCTCTACTGTTCACTCAAAGAATGATCTCGGGATTCTAGCCACAGGGAGCCCATATGGGGGAGATGCAGCCGAGGTAAACACAGCTATGTATTTCCTGTGTAGATAGCTTGATGCAACTACTGATTAAAATGCACACACGGCTCTACCTTGAAGTCCACAATGTTGTTCCAAAGGTGTGTAACGCCCTTATACCAAGTACGATACGGGCAACTAAGTGTGTGATAGGTCTAAAGCATAAATCTTACGGTGCCAGACTCGAGCACCTCATTTTATTCTCATTGAACTGCAGGGGAATAAGGGATGATCTGATGATGAGATACAACATATAAAAAAATCAAGTCACCCTAACGCGAACATACTACCAGAACATCATCACCACTCCCCATGAGAAAACTCTCGAATTATCATGAAAAGCGAACACCCACGTACACTCACTTTTTCTCTATAAAAGTTGACCCCGTTTGAAATGTTCTCCCAACCTAATTGACCACATCCATCAGTGGATAGGTTAAAGAGGAAGTTTGACAACTACGTACTCACTCGCGGATTACTACCTTCTTTCTGGACCAACTGCGTTTTATGCATATCTCATAAATTACTACGGCTATCATTACAACTTATCTGTAACTACTTCCTATGTTTCTTATTATCAACCCCGTTTCCCTTCTTATATTTTCAATTCCATCTTCTTACACATTACTAATCAGCCAACTTCTCTGAAACAACCTTGGATCCGTTGACCAGACACTATCAGCAGTAACCTGCTGTGAGAGACAACAAACCAGATCCCAGCGGAGGAAGAAATCAGTAAGAAGTGCTGGAGGTAGATATGACACACGTTGAGAAAAGCACCGAAGTGCGTCACAAGGCACGCCCTCACATGGAATTCTCAAGGCCAAAGGAGAAGAGGGAAACCAAAGAACACCTTACACCAAGACATGGAGATAGACATGAGAAGAATGAATGACAATTGTATAGAACTAGAAAGGAAGGCCCATGGCAGAGTGGGTTGGAGGATGCTAGTTGGCGGCCTGTGCTCCACTGGGAGTAACGGGCGTGGTAGTAGTAATTACTGAAAGAGTTGTTTTCTCTAAGCACACCAACCGTCACTTTATTATTTTCAAATTGCGACCAACCGACCTCGTGTCTTGCAATGTGATGGTTGCCAGTATCCTGAAAGCCTACTACCGTGAGACAAGCAAGCTAACTGGAACTACAAATATGTGAACTGAGTAGCGCTAATAAGACTCATTCGATAGGAATATCTGAAACATGGATATCTCAAATTACTGACCTGGAGCCAGAAATATCCAACATAAATTTGTCCCAACTGACGAAGACCGTGACACTGCTGACCTCCTGACAAAACAACACTTTCAGTCATGTCGACCGTCTCATGATAATCTCACCGACGAGAGATTCACTAACTACCTAATGTGACTCTCAGAATTGGACCTGAGCGCTGAATAAGTGTGTTAGAAACTGAAGCACCTAAACAAGGGCAGTATTGGCTAGGATATGGTCCATTCTGCTATACTGAGGGAAGCGGCTCTAATATTGACAAAACCACGCGGCGTAATGTTCTCACATTCCGTAAGCCGGAGGACGGTACCAGAAAGTTAAAAGTCGGCCCACATTACACCAGACTTAAAGTAGGTCGACGTTGCAGACCTCCAAGCCACCGGCCAGTAGCATTTCTCCCGATACTTCAAAAAACCTTGGAGCCCCTGATATGTGACGGTCTTTGGCGGCATCGGTTCCCAATCACGCAATGTTCGGAGCTGAATACATAATAGCTGAGAAGATTGGTATTCAGCATGTAACACTTGGATGAGGTCAGAAGTAGTGAACGCCGGAAGAAGGAATGTAAATTTCACGTCTCAGCCATATAGGCGTGGTCACTCTGTGTAAAGCCTATTGCATTTTGTATTTAACATATTACTATCCACCCACCTCAAATGGGTTTTTCGGAAATGCTAGACATCATATTGTTGATCACCGTGGTACTATGAGTCAGAGTAAACAATGATATGTCTTCCACGAAAGGTCTTATAGATTAGGTTTTCATATCATGACAAATCTAAAATTTCGGGATTAGGTCTAGTATATTAGTAACAGAGACAAATATACTAATACCGAACCAGACCATAATTCTGAGGGTCTATGGGGCCACATACTGTCCATAAACGTCTCTTTACATCAACAGCACGATTACATGGAGAGTAACTCTTGTGAAACCAACCTGCTGACCGAGGTGGACAGATCAACAACCATCCTTTATAGCAAAGAGAATATTGACTTCATGTACCTTGACATATCAAATGCTCTTATTAGGGTCGATCGTAGGTGTCTTATCAATAAGCTTAAACAAATAAGTTGGTTCACTCTCTTCATATCTTGATAATCGACATTCTAAGGTCAGGGTAACCTTCAATTTTCTCAGACTACAGAATGCTCTGTTGCGATCTTTCAACGTTCAGTACTAAGACCCTTTTCTTAATTTATACGGACTATCTTCCCAAATGGGCATCACTTGACATATTACTTTACGCTGATGATGTTAAACTCTGGAGAGATGTTTACAACCAAGATGATAAGCCAGCACTTCCGGAAGATCTGACTGGACTTCAAAGTTGGGTAGACAACAACAGACTTATCTTTAACACTTCAAGGTGTAAATTAGTCCATCTGAGACACTCCTCACACTACGAATACAACTTAGGTAACTCTCCTTCACAGGAATCCCAAGTTGAAAAAAAATCCAGGTGTGTTGGTACCCAACGATCTGAACTTTTATGTTAACTGAGAAAAAAATGTCTTTTGAACAAACCTTGCACTGGTAACGTCGAAGCAAATTATTGGCCAGTACGACGGTGGAACTTCCTGCCTAATCTTCAACAAAATTATTCGACCCTATTTAGAGTATGGAAACATAGCGTTTCCTCCCTCGCTCCGAAAGAACAAGGATACATTGAAACGCATTCAAAGGTGAACCACAAAATCAGTTCGGGACTCAAATTCAAGCCTTATAAAGAGCACTCCAAATCACTGAACCTTTATCCATTGGAGTATATATATCTAACATGTGACCTTCCAATGACCTGTTTCATCCTAAACACTCCTGAGTGCCCCCCCCCAAATATATACCGATGGTCGGCTGCAACACAAGCCTTGGGAGTAACACACAGAAATCAGAGGCACAACACAGCAGAACGGACTGTAGGCACACCTTCTACTCCATAAAAGTAGTCGAATTCTAGAATTCAATGCCATCTAAGGCGCTCGGAGCTACTTCACAGGAGTCCGTCAAAAGGTAGCTTCATATTTTGGTGAAGTTTTGTTCTCCGACCTGGATAAGAAACAAAATTTCGTCAGAATCGCCCACCTAAGCCACAAATCTCCACGAGCTCGGAAACTTGATATATTATTGAGGATTAAGGACAGTGTCTCAATATAAGTCACCAGTACTCTTTTCCTCTTTTGATAAGAATGCTAGGTTTCTACCTGACAGCATCGATGATACACTGCTACTAAATGTGGAAGCTCGCCAAACGGAAGCATGTTCTAATCTGTCCAGAATCATTTGGACAAATAACAACATAACTGACTAGTTGAATAGTTGAGTGAATAGACATTACCAGATAACTGGTATCGCACCGAAAAAACAAGGAGTGAGCTCAGAGAAATAAATTGGTTTATATAAGCTCATGAAAGAGGCATTGAATATTAGATTAAACTTTAACTAATAAAGACTGACTCCAACGAGGCTCATTTTTCAAAAGTTTCGCTAGTTACTGCGGTTCTGGGTATTCTTGGTATAAGGTTAGTATGTTATAAGCTTTTATCGGAGCTTACCTTAGACATGAAAAAATCATAGTATTCTGAAAATTTATTTTTATAAACTAGGGTTTAGCCATGTATTTTACCATCGTATATTAAAATACGTTTATTTTTATAAATGGTTGTTCATGTCGAAAATTCCTGTTTGATTTGATATATATGACTTTAACTCATCAGTTTTTCGTGGTTAAAATTAAACACATCGTTTATACCCTTTTTCATTTCTGATCATTCAATTTTAGCATCATGGTGTTGCTTCAATAGTTCATCTCACTTCTATATATTGTTGTAGAAAACTATAACGGAATCGCCGTCAGCTTCTATTTTGAGCCATTTTTGATAATGTTTCGAGCTGCTGAGTTGTAAGGTCTTTAGAATCCCAACCGGGGAGTAATGATGAACCGACAGATAAAAGTTCCATACCTCTCTCTTTCATGCCACGACACTTCATAAACTGACTAACTCTATTCTTTTTCCACTTAATTCTAGCATCAGTAAACAGTGTGCTGAGTAAAGGTCGCTACGATGATATTCGTTAAAAAAGTCCAAGCAACCTTCGTACACACCCTTTCATTCCGTTTTCGAATCATGGAATTAGGAATTTCGTTGGTTCATCCCAGTTTTTGTAAAGTCAATAGACGGTTGAGAACTCATCGTGATAGGCTCCTCAAGCAACAAAAGGCGAAGACAACTTAAAAGTAAACTATTAAGATCTCGACACAGTGATCTTAAAACAGAAAAACAGATAAGACAGTGATGATAAGTAGCACTAAATACTTGTTTGGAGTCACCAAGAAGACTGGTTGTTAAAGTGAGTGTTATTTCAACCGTCGCAAACGAGACAACTATAACATAAGTTGAACATTTTGAGATAAAGTGCAGCTACTCTGCGGTCGAACATTCCAGTGAGAACTTAAAAAGGAGATGTACACTGGCCCTTAACTCAGTAAAATAAAGTTCGTATCTGGTATGAAACGATAAGGAGTAGGTAATCTAGAACGATCAACCGTAAAAGGCATTTTAGATGCTATCTCAAAATCATCAGCTGATTTGATTGAGGTTTTACTTGATTAGTTAAGGTCTGAAGGCTAGGGCTGATTCGATACTTTTGATTTTATCGTCAGCCGTTCTAATTTATTCTTATAAATTCTTTAAGACGGGACAAAAATCCGCTCGTGATAATTATAAAATGTCTGATTCAATGAATACAGTATCGAAGGTCTAAGCTTCCACAATTGTCCAATTTTCAGAAAAGTTGGCGAATGCATGCATTAAGTATCCATCGTTTGATGAGTCTTAAATATACGTACCAGTATCCGTAACTGTATTACATAACTTAAAACAAGGTAGTACCCTGACCATATTGGTTTGTTGGTCATTGGAAAGTATATTACAATGTTCATCTAGCGATTGAAGACTATTTACTAATCGAGTTCTAATCATGGCTAAGGTTTATTTCTCGATTTCACTCCTTTTTAGTGAGGTGAATTCTCTACTTTCATTTTTTCACTGCAGTTTATAATATTACTCTCACTACTTTGTCTTTCATCTTTTAACTTTCCTCTGTCCCCTTGCCGATATTACGTTCATTATTTGAGTGAATAAATATTTGTGCTAGATCTTATTTTGTCTATGAATGACTGACACCCTCCATACTTTGGTTATTTATTTTTACAAGTGTTTCACTGATAAATTCAGTCTAAAAATGTATAAGGTACTGGTAACTTACATACATTTTCAGTTGCGGCTTATTCTTACTTTCATCCCACTAACTTCAAGTTTAGGAAAATTTGGTGTCTAATCTTTAGACATGTAAATGCTTAATCGTCTAAAATTAATTGAATAACCTTACTTCTACCTAGAACGTTTGGCTTTTCTCGCAACGTTTTAATATGTGTGGATAGGAAACTTTTGAAAATGTTCATGAATAACTCCTTTATTCCCGTAAATAGTTGACTGTTTATATTTTCTAGCCTATTTTTACAGAGGAATATTGTCTTCTCGATATTTCTTGATGATGAACCGCACTAAATAGCTAGATATTAACTATACGTTACGAATGGAAATTTGCCATAATTCTTTCCATATCACCTTAGGTTTTATTTTTGTATTGTTTTTTACGAAGTAGCTGTCTGACCAAGATAAACTGGAATTTATTTTTATTGTAGTTGTAGATTACAGTTTGTCTCTTTCATTTTAGTTCTTGTTAGCCTATTAATTTTTCGACAGACTTTTCCATCTTAACATATTCTTCTAGTATCGGGATAATACACAACAGTTAATTAAATGAATTATTCATAAGTTACAAATCAGCTGTTTTTTTGTAATCCAAGTAGTTAATGATAATTCAAGTCAATATTGATGTGAACAAGTTGAAAATTGACGAAGGATCCCTGTATTCCGATGTTAAATTATATATATATATAGTCTCACTTGTTATAATAAGGGGACATCTCGAATAAAAGTTAGAACTTGATTACTTTTACAAAATATATTACCATTTTGTGGGAAACCTTTCACTGTATGATGTGTCTGGTTTATTTTTAATCTGAATGGAAAATTGGTTGACTGATTATTAATACTGATTACTAAATAATACCTATTTTAATTTTATTTCGTTTTACAGCCTTCACCATTTTGCTTATTATCGTAAAGAATTAAAAAAATCATTGCAATGAGCATAGAGACTGCTCCGTATACTGTTTCGAAAGCTTGGACTCAAGAAGTTAGTTTCTCGTGATCATATTGAGATTCTTAGAAAGTTGAACTGCGTGAGTATAACTCTTTACGATGGGTTTGTGCCATGAGTCATGAAAGTTCAATGGATAAGGCAAGTAAGGAGTGCTTTTGGAAATTGTTCAGGTATATTGGTGGGAAAAATGCACAAAGTTTGTGATTTCTTTCTGATTAATATTCCTTACAGAGGTTAAAGTACCGATGACTGCTCCAGTTACTATTGAAAGTAAACCAGATAATCAGTCTGTCATGAAAAGATGTTTTACAATGGGTTTTTACATTCCTGAGGCCTTTCAATCAAATCCACCTGCTCCAACTGAAGACGGGGTATTTATAGAAACTAGACCAGCCATGAAAGTTTACTGTTGGTGAGATATTTATACATAGTCTGTTTAATGTAACTTGTTATTAACGTTATATTTATAATTCGCATTAAACCATTCAACCGACTATTGGTTTTTAAGAAATTAATCAAATTTGATCAATACTGCAGCCCGACCACATTCTCATAACTATCTTTTTTGGAGTCTTATTTACATTTAATACTTCAATAGACGCTGGATATCATTATGTAAGTGACAGTGTTTGAGTGCTAAAAGCCATAGAATACCTCACAGTGCTGTGCAGGTATTAAATGTTTACCGTGTGAAGGATTTCTGTTTCATTAGGTTTAAAAAGAAACAATCCTAGTGAGTGTGTTCTAGGCCGCTATTCTTTAGCAAAATCTTATACAACCAACATCGGGCAAACAATTTTGAGAAATCTTAAGTACGGTTTCATTCGCTATAATTAGCCACACTGTTTATTCGTACTATTAAAACAGGTACCTTGAGTGTCTATTCAATAATAAGGTTTTAGAGTTTATATCTTTAAATCTTAATTTTTCAGTAAGTTTACTTAATCTGAACACTGTTTACAAAACTAAGAAACATGCGATAACAGGGCAAATTATTCATGATTCATATATTCACTTTTGTACCTCTGGTATTAAGTACTAAAAATCGGGAAATGGAATCTGATTTTAAAATTCATCCTAATAGCTATTAGTTACGTATCTAAATCATACTTTCCAAGACAAGCATCATGACAAACATTTTTATCCTTTGAGAACCTGTCATGTTTTCAAAATGAGAAACAAGTTTTTTATGTTTATCCCTGTTCCTTGAGCAGTGCACTCAACTCAGTGTGACAGAAGTTTGAACAACAAGGAGGTAAAATACAAACCTGATACCTATTGCATCGGAACAACAAGTTAGAGTAGCGAAAACAAGAGTTCATATGGAATTGACATCGGTAACTTTTCGATCTTCCTGTTCCTCCTGCTAACGTTTATTGGTTAGAAATGAATTAATTACCATGTTTAGAATTAAGCTTAAACTGAGCATTCGACCGTTAAAGTTCTATTATGTGCATATACTTCACTGCCAACCTAATTCAAATAAATAGTTATACCATATGTCGACTTTTTCATTGCAAATTCTGTATCGAAATTGAAGAGTCTGATTGGTGTTAGCTAGTATTTTTGTTTTTCTATGTTTTATTCTGTTAGTTGTTGTTGAAATGTTTTGTACAATGGTGTACCCACCAAGTATTTTTACTTTTAAACTATGGTCACTATGATTAAAAAAAGTGTTAGCTCTTAGTTCTAGTCTCTTGACGTTTCAAAGATGTTAAGCATGGTATCCTGCATCCTTTAAGATAACTAAATTACTTTCATGTATACAGAGGTGTTGAACAAAACAAAACAAGTTCTATGGTTCATTTCATTTCGAAAAATATAAGGTATTTAATTTACTTCGTAATGGTATGAGTTATCCAGCTGTTGATACTTTTTTTTACTAAAATTTGATCAATCTTAGTTGAAATATTTGCATTTTATGCGGATTGCTTCGATATAGCCATTATGACACAAGTTTACGTAGAATATTAACAATGGAGTAAGTCAAACCATTAGAAATTAAATCAAAATTTATATCCATTTTACAACTGAATAGCTTTCTGGAATCAATGTCTAAACGGATAACTTGTTGACGTTTAAAACGAAAAGTACTAGGTATAAACACTAGTGGAAATCAACTCTACGATGTAAGTACATACAGCTGACGAGTCTCGAATGGGACAAAACACGCATATTAGATCTCAGCACCAAGCATATTTCATCTATTCTATAAAATATTTAATTAGTTTACTTTATTTCATTTTCTTTTTAAAAAAAATTTCATATAAAGGACCTATTCAGGCTTTTCAAATAATGACAAGGCATTAAATAATGCACGTAAACTTGGTGAAAGTCTCGATCAACTTGGTTTAAAATATATACCAGATCCTTTTTATTTCGCTGGTTATGATTCACCATTCAAATTAATTAATCGTCGAAATGAAATATGGTTTAAAGCTCAATGAATAAATTTCTGTTCTTTTTATCATAATAAAAATAATGAGTGTTTACTTTAGAGAGAGATAAAGATAGAGAGAAGGGGGGAAAGAAAGGAAAGTACTTATCAGCTGACAACATTTCTTTTTTCTTCTGCATAAAACTTTGTTTCTATTCTTTGTAATCATTAAAGAGTACATTATGTCACTTTTTTTTATATTTTATGGGAGAATTGTTTTATTACACCTGAACTCTTTTTTTTCACTTAGATATATATGATTGGTTCATTCTGTATCTATGTGATTTTACGTGCTGTCTTGTTCTCCACACTACTCATATTACTTTCTATATAAGTGTACTTATTTCATTGTTTGGATAATAATCATAACAACAATAATGTACTACTACTATTAATAATAATAAGAATAACAGTAATAATACTTAACTCAGGTGGTCGTATATACTCTGCATAATCATAATATATACATAGTCTTTTTTGTTAGAAAAACCTTTCTTTTCAATTTTATAATCTCAGGTCATAGTGTTACTTACATTTTTTTTCTGAACAATTCAAAGTGTTGTGTTTAAGAATTAAATAGATTGTTTTTTACAATATAATCAGTCTTATAATTGTTATTTGTATACAAATGAATGTAGATGAAAAGAAGAAGGAAATGAACATTACGTTGTTGTTAACATTAGATTTAGTTGGTTTGATGATATGTAATATGTTTTGTGTAATTAAAACAGTTTAATAGAGAGGAAGTGATTTCACTGATACAAAAATATGATTGATTTTGATTATGTGTTCCCTGAAGAATTGAAGATACTCGTAGAATACTGGTATTTTCCAAGTATCGTTCGCATATTTTGAGACCACTGAGTGAACATTGCCGGGATTAGATTTGTGGTACGTGATAAACATTACAAATAGACTGGTGAAATAGTGAATCTACATCAACTGAGGTGGTTGTGACATGTTTAACGCATGCTCTAACTTGACTGTTGATATTGTCTGGGGTAGAGATACGCTGGAGGAAAGCTAAGGGCAACCAAACCAAGAAGTGACACCAATGCACGAGGGTTTTAACAATTGAAGTGAGCTATATCAATAAGTGCAGGCTACCTGATTGTGGTCGGTGTGATTATCGCAATCAATGGCTAGAGTATTTGGATGGCACGACTTAGAACCGTTTACCACGGCATATTTGCACTCACTTATTGTCTTTATTCAGAACCCGAGTCTCGAAATCTCGAGCCTTTTTATTTTATTTTTCTATGCTTGATCTCGATTATTACTGATACTGTCACAAATCCTACTCTGTGATTCGTCTTTAAATAATTTCATCTCACTGTCCTAATTTGGTATTGTAACTTGGGCCAATACACATATTTATCAGGTCCTACGTTTCGTAAATCTCTATCTCTAAACCAACCATGTTTTCTTTGAGTCATGGTGTTCGACTACAAAATTCTCACCATCTTTTCTCGGGATCAGGATCTTTTCAAAACAGTAGATTAAAAAGCTTTGATGAATGCTTTATTTTTTAACTTAATTATTGTCACCCTTGCTTATACACACGCCTTTATTGACGGCTCATTATTTATTTATTCGAACACATAAACAATGGTAGAAGGGGGCACCAAATACATATGTGCCACACAATAACAGTGAGGTTGTGAAAGGATAGAGAATTAATGTAAAGTGCATATAGGCCTCAGTATACACAAAGAGGAAACCAAGATCCTCAAATTCAAAGCGGAGAACAGCAATCCAGTCATTCTTGATGGCGAAACTCTGGAAGATGTAGAATCCTTCACATACCTGGGAAGCATCATCGATGTACAAGGAGGTTCAGATGCAGACGTAAAGGCAAGGATTGGCAAAGCAAGGGTCCCATTCTTACAATTGAAGAACATATGGAACTCAAAACAACTTTCAACCAATATGAAAGTCAGAATCTTCAACACGAATGTCAAGGCAGTTCTACTGTACGGAGCTGAAGCTTGGAGAACTACAACAACCACCATCATGAAGGTACAAGTATTTATAAATAACTGTCTACGCAAGATACTCAACATCCATTGGCCGGATACCATCAGCAACAGCCTTTTGCGGGAGAGAACAAACCAACTTCCAGCTGAAGAAATTAGGAAAAGACGATGGAAATGGATAGGACATATATTACGCAAATCGTCAAACTGCATCACGAGACAAGCCCTAACTTGGAATCCTGAAGGGAAGCGGAAAAGAGGAAGGCCAAAGAACACATTACGTCGGGAAATAAAAGCAGTTATGGGAAGGATGAATAACAACTGGAAGGAGCTGGAAAGCATTGCCCAGGACAGGGTCGGATGGAGAATGCTGGTGATTGGCCTATGCTACTTCACGAGGAGTAACAGGCGTAAGTAAGGTAAAGTAAGCATATAATAAAAAGGACAATAAATAACGGAAATTGGTGTGAAAGTGAAATAATAATAATAGGAGAGGCAGTTCAGTTGAGTAAAACACAACCAGAAAGAATTCTTTCAGTTAAATAAGTTACGTTCGTTTTTGTGAAGAAAGTAAAAGAAAGTTACAGTAGGATCGTCACTAGCTTCTATTCTGAGCCATATCTGATAACGTCTCTAGCCACTGTGTTGCACCATCTCTTAGAACCCAACCAGGGAGTCATAAGGGACCAACAGAAACCAGCCCTTGGTAGCTTTCTTCCATACCACGACACATTGTCATACACTGACCACCTCTCCGCTTTTTCCAATCGGTCCTGGTGTCGGAAAATAATGCACTTAGTGGAAATCTCTGGGAAGACATTCATAAGACATGTCCAAGCCACAGAAGTCGATGTTTCAAGATAGTGGCACTGATTGAATGGTTGTCACTGTGCCTGAACACACGATGACGAACCTCTGCATTACTAACATGGTGTTGCCACTACATGCCAGCAGTCTTTCGAAAACAACGATGATCAAACACAACTCAACTCGAAGAGGCCAGGTTTCACAAGCATAGAGCAACACTGCCCTCACCGATGCGTTGTAGATCCGACCTTTTACAGCCAGACTAACATCATGAAAGCGCCAAAGATTACCCGGATTGGCACAAGCCGATCTGACATTCACTATACGTGACTTGATCTCATCGTTCACGCCACCACCAGCACTTACGCAGCTACCCAGATACACTAACTTTTCGACTACTTCTGTTTACTCACTACCCAGGGTGAGTGCGGGGTCAGGGTCCTGCCAGTTTTGTAAAAGCACTTTGCACTTCGAAGGTACAAAGCACATACCATACCTACGGACACTGATTGCCAACTGACTAAGTATGGATTGCATGGCTTTGGTATCATCGCACAGTAAAACAATATCATCCGTATACTCAGGGTCAAAAGGTCTTTCCGCAGGCAATAGGCCTGCAACATTACCTAAATCCATCAGAGCTGTTTCCAGAATGTCATCGATGGCAAATTTAAAGAGGAATGGTGAGATTGGGCAACCCTGTCTAACCCCACTGCTTGAGTGGAACAGTGGAGAGAGTTAGTTGTATGCCCTTACTCTGCCAATAGTGTTTGTGTATAGGGCTTTCAAGATGTTAACAAACTCAGACACACCCTTCTTCAATAGACAATTTCAGAGAACAGTCTTGTCCAACCATTCGAAAGCAGCCCTGATGTCAGGAAACACTACAATTGTTGACCTGTGATAAGTATGACGGTGTTCTAATATTTGGCGCAGGGTGAAGATATGATCGACACATCTTCGACCAGAACGAAAACCAGCCTGCTCCTCGCGAGTCAATCTTTCTCGGATTCTGAACAATCTTCAAAGTATGATGGAAGCCAAAAGTTTGGACGCAATCGAAATTAGAATTACATAGGTGACATGATCCCTTTTTAAAGATAGAGACAACTATCGACTCATTTCACGATGTTGAGACACTCTCTAATTACCAAACCTTTGTAAAAAAAATTCTGTCAGTCTCATAAGTAGAAAGTCACTGTCATCTTTAAGAATGGCTGGAGGTAAGTTATCTGGGTCTGGTTATTTGTGGTGCTTTGAGAGTTGGAGTTCCCTGCGACCAATTAGTTAACACGCTCCGACCACCAGGCTTCTCGATCCTCACTCAAGCTTTGAGCAATTTCATTATGCAACAGTCCTTGTTTATGGTCAAAATCGCGATCACGCAGAATAGACCGACGGGCTTCGATGAATTGTAAGGAGCCCGAAGAAACCCATTGCTTATAAGCAGGACGTTTTTAGAAGCCGCAAGAGACTTCAGTCGCCATTTCCATGGAGTCATACAACTGTAACCAATACTCATCTATACTTTTAAGTGGGCTGATAGCTAGCCTTTAACCTAGCTCGGTATGATAATTGGTTGGAACAGAATCTGCAAGCCATTTACTGACACGATCCGTTGAGAAGGACGAATTTGTTGGCCAATTTTTTAATTCTTTACATTTATTAAAGTCAAATCAATATCATTGATTGAAGTAGTTAGAGTAATACAGCATTAAGGAAATGTAAAGTTCTTAGTGAAGTGTTATATCTACAGCTTAGATTTTTAATACACAACGTATAACTTGAGCACTCGGACGCTAGAACCCTCCCAAGTCCCAAATGAGGAGATAGAAGACAAGTGAAAGGAATGTTATTCCGAACAGTGTCAATTATGGTACAAAACTGTCAGGTATTTATAGTTTTTAGTAAAAACGAAATCATCATTATAGTTCTCCAGTCCGCATACAGGGGGTTATAAGCATCTGTTCAATAGCGAAGCTCCACGCAGGGATTCTGAATTATTCTTTCAAAAGGTGATTGAATGGAATATCTTCGGCTCTTTCTAAGCTTCATAGGGTTTCTTTGAGTTCAC